CCCTGGCTCCTGCTGGTCCAGCGTGAAGGCCTCGGAGCCGAGGGACCCGAGCCTCAACGAGCCGCCCCGGGGCCCCTGCCGGGGGAAGGAGAGCAAGGCAGAGGAGGAGGAGGAGGAGGAGGAGGAGGAGGAGGAGGTGGAGGAGGAGGGGGAGGAGGAGGAGGAGGAGGAGGAGGAGGAGGAGGAGGAGGGGGAGGAGGAGGAGGAGGAGGGGGAGGAGGAGGAGGAGGAGGAGGAGGAGGAGGGAGGAGGAGGAGGAGGAGGAGGAGGAGGAGGAAGGAGGAGGGAGGGGGAGGAGGAGGAGGAGGAGGAGGAGGAGGAGGAGGAGTGAGGAGGAGGAGGAGGAGGAGGAGAGAGGAGGAGAGGAGGAGGAGGAGGAGGAGGAGGAGGAGGAGGAGGGGGAGGCAGGAGCAGGGCAGAGGAGAGGAGGAGGGAGGAGGAGGAGGAGAGGAGGAGGAGCAGAGAGCAGGAGCAGGAGGAGGAGGAGGAGAGGAGGAGGAGGAGGAGGAGGAAGGAGGAGGAAGAAGAGGGAGGGGAGGAGGAGGAGGAGGAGGAGGAGGAGGAGGAGGAGGATGAGGAGGAGGAGGAGGAGGAGGAGGAGGAGGAGGAGGAGAGGGGAGGAGGAGGGGAGGAGGAGAGGAGGAGGAGGAGGACCACGGCACCGAGAGGGCATGAGAGCAATTAAGCCTTCTCGGAGGCGCGCGCGGACTTCGGGGGGCGGCACGGGGCCGCCCCCCCTTGGAAGAAATGATAAAACGCCAGGGGGGGGGACCATCAGCGTCAGGTGTCGAGGTGCCGCGTCAGGGGGGGAGGAGCCACGTCAGGGGGGGAGGAGCAGCGTCAGGGGGGGGGGGAACGAGGGGCGAGGCGAGGGGCGGAGGCGAGAGTGGGGGAGGAGCAGCGCCAGGGGAGGAGCAGCGTCGCGGCGCGCCCGGGGTGGAAGTCAGAATCGAAGAGAGACAAAAACGCCATCAGCACAATAACCCGTTGGCGCTTTGGCGCGCGGTGCGGGCCAGGGGCGGCGCCGGAGGCGCCGCCAGGGAGGCCCTCACGCAGATCCGAGGAATCCGCGCGGCCCGTCGAAAGCTTGTGCTTATGCCGTTGTTTCTTCCTCGACCTCCCCCTGCGACTGCCGCAGCGGGTGGAGAGCGGTGGAGCGTGGGCATCTCCGCCCTCGGGGACGGCCTGCCCAAGGGCGGCTGGACCATCCAGCCCCCCACGGAAGCAGGTGGGGGGCACGGGCTCCCGAGCCGCCCTCGGGCACGCTCTCCCCCAATGCACTGGGGGCCCCAAGACGGTGCGGTGTCGGGCCGTGCGGTCGCCTCGACATCGCAAGCTGCCTCACCGCACAGCTCGGCGCCGCACGGTCTTGGGGGCCTCGCGGGAGCCCCCGTCGCCCGAGACGTTTCTCGGAGAGGAACCGAAGTCCCAAAGCCATGCGGTCACCCCCGAAGCCCCACTGACTCACCACGCGGTGTGTTGGCGGCGCGCGCCAGTGGGACAGGGAGAGGGGGGAAGGTGGCGGCGCGCACAAGGGGGTGGAGGGAGGGGGGAGGGCTTCTTAGAAGGAGGCTGCTTCTTAGAAGGCGCCGGCCTTCCATCTATGCCAGCGCCTTCTAAGAAGCAGGGGTGCTTCTGAGAGGCCCTCCCCCCTTCTCCCCCCACCCCCCTCTGCGCGTGGCTGGGGAAGGCTCCTTAGAAGGAGGCTGCACTTGAGAAGGCACTGGCCCTACCTCCAACTGTGTAGACGAGGCCGAGATGTCGCCAAGAGCCGGCAGAGCCCGGGACAGAGCCGCCGAGAGGGGCCGAGCACGTCGAGCCCGAAATCGCCCCTTCCCCCCTTCCTCTGCGCGTGGCTGATGTGGGGCCCCCCCCGACACAGACCCCCGACGTTCTGATTCTGCCGTGGCGTCACCCCCAGGAAGTCTGGACACCTTCCCGCCGGGGGCCGGCTTTTCACCCCGAGTCGCTCTTGGCGGCCCCGAGGCGGGGTAAAAGGGCCCCTGGAGCCCGAGAGTGATGAGAAACCTCCCGTCGTGGTTGTGTGACAGCGCGAGGGCGTCTTGGGGGTTTTGGGGGGGGGCCCAGAGCTTCCCTTCGCCCGCGCGCGGAGCGCGCCAGTCGAGGAGAACGACAGGGGGGGATGATAGCAAAGGGCAGGGTCGAGAATCCGCTCACGCAGCTGACTTTCCCAGCGCCTCCTGGCGGCTGGGCCGAAACCAGCCGCATGCAGCAGATTTCGTACCCCCCCTTTCCCTAATCCCCCCCCCTGTCGTTCGGCCCGAGCCAGGGGGAGGCGCTGGCGGCGCCGCCGGGGGGAGGGGGGGGCTCACCAGGCCGGGCCGCCGACTGCCTCTGGCTCGGCCGACGCTCCCGCTCGGGCGCCCCATCTCTGCCTCCGGCCCCTCCTCGAGCAGAGGCGCCTCACATGCACGTCGCTCGGAACGAGGGCAGCAAAAGCAGAACGCCATGAAGGCAAACTTGTGGCGCTCCGCGCGGATTTCTTGGACCTGCGCTGGACCCCCCTCCCTGGCGCGCGCGGAGCGCGCCAGGGGCGGCGCGGGAGGCGCCGCCAGGGGGGGTCCCATGCGCGGATCCAAGAAATCCGCGCGGAGCGCCACAAGTTTATGTTTATGGCGCTCGTTCTTCTTCGAGAAGGTGGGCAGAAACCTGGAGTGGGAACGCGTGGAAAACACAGCCGACAATAGGATCCAAGAACTACGACCTGTGAACTGTGGGCCAGCTTCCTGGACATGTCTTAAGATAGGAGGGGGAGGAGGAGGAGGAGGAGGAGGAGGAGGAGGAGGATGAGGAGGAGGAGGAGGGGGAGGAGGAGGAGGAGGAAGCCTGGGCCAATATCTGGCGCCAGCGCCGGAGAGGCGACTGCGCCCGAGGAGCTGGGCCAGAGGTCCGGCAAGTTGGCTAAGAAACGCTGGCCCACCTCTTCGGGAGGAGGTTTCTTAATCTGATGCTCGACTGTGCAGTCAACCCGTACAATAAGGACGCGCGGTAAGGATGCAAGGGCCTTGGCCGCCCATTTCGAAGCTTTTCGAGTGGGGCGCGGCCAACGAACGAGGCCAAGGATGAACCGAGGAGGCAAGGATGCAAGGGTACCCTTGGGAAGGTCGCCCATCCTTATTATGCGGGTTGACTGTGCACGTCGGTCGGAAGAAGTGGGTGAAAACACGGAGCAGGAAGGCGTTGAACGTAGACTGGGCTTCCGCTCGCCCACCGAGGGCGAGGCAAGAGGGAAAAGGCTTCTCCACTCTTGAAGTAAGACGGCACCTGAAGCAGATTGGGATCTGGGAGCCCAGGAAAATACCTACTTTCGGGCTGGGTGAAAGGGGGGGATAGCAAAGGGGGGGTTTGAGAATCAGCTCGCGTAGCTGATTTTCCGAGCGCCTCCCGGCGCCGGAGGCGGCTATGTATCGAGGAATGGGCCCCTCGGTGAAGCCGAAACCAACTGCATACAGCAAATTTCGTAACCCCCCCTTTTCCAATCCCCCCTTTCGCCCGGCCCGATACTTTCAGCGACTGGCGTGTAGTCCGCGCGGGCCTCCGAACGTGTGAGCGCAGTAAGCTGTTTGCTTTGTTTTCTGTCGCTTTGCCCACCGGCCTGCGACAGCAGCCCCAGCCCGGCTTCGGCCAGCTGCGACCTTGAGATCCAACGCTGCGACAAGATGCCACATCGCGGAGAAAGACACAGCCCAAAGCCCCATAGACCCCATCTCTCTGCGGCATTTGTCGAGTCGAGTCGACCTGTGCCTAGACATGCGACGTCCTGATTTTTTCAATACGGAGTCCCTGGCAGTCCCAACCCTTTCCCCCGGACCAGTTTTTCATCCTAAGTCGTATTTTGACGGTCCCGAGGCCCGGCGAGGCCCCCCCCGATGCCGAAAATTGCCAAAAACCTTCCGTCCTGTTTTTGATTACGACGCTCTCATGTCTGGGACCTCTCTGCGACATTTGTCGAGTCGAGCCGATCTGTGATGGCCCCGAAGACTGGCAACACCGATCGCCTCCTCCTCCTCTTTCTCCTCATTCTCCTCCTCCTCCTCCTCCTCGTCTTCCTCTTCCTCCTCCTCCCTATCCTCCTCCCCTCCTCCCCCCCCCCCCCCTCCTCCTCTCCCCCCCTCCCCCTCCCCCCTCATCCCCCTCCCCCTCCCCACCCCCCCTCCTCCCCCCCTCCTCCTCCTCCTCCTCTCCTCCTCCTCCTCCTCCTCTCATGCTCCTGATCCTCTCTCCTCCTCTCCTCCCCCTCCCTCCCCCCCCTCCCCTCCTCCCTTCTCCTCCTCCCTCCTCCTCCTCCTCCTCCGCTCCTCCTCCGCCTCCTCCGCCTCCTCCCACCTCCTCCTCCCCTCCTCCTCCTCCTCCTCCTCCTCCTCCTCCTCCTCCTCCTCCTCACACCGTTGCATCGCCCGGATCGCGCGGACCCCGCGGTGCGGGGCCCGCGCGCGGACAGCGGGTAGGCGCTGCCCTTGCCCCTGCCCTGCGCGGGGCCGAGCGCCCTCGACGGCGGCGGTCTCGACGAGCGGGCCGAGCTGGGCGCCGGCGGCAGGGCGCTGGCACCTGCGCAGGAGGAGGAGGAAGAGGAGGAGGAGGAGGAGGAGGAGGAGACGAAGATGAGGAGGAGGAGGAGGAAGGAGGAGGAGAGGAGGAGGAAGAGAGGAGGAGGAGGAGGAGAGGAGACAAAGAGGAGGAGGACAAAGAGGAGGAGGAGGAGGAGGAGGAGGAGAGGAGGGGGAGGAGGGAAGGAGGAGGAGGAGGCACCGCCGAGGCCGAAGCCGCTGCCCACGGTGGAGGCCAGGCTCAGGCTCGGCGGCGAGGCCCGGCGGCTGTCCCAGGACCTCGGCTCGACCCGACCGATCCACCTCCCAGACATGATCGCGTCCTGGCTCTCCTCATCCTCCCCTCCCCCTCCTCCTCCTCCTCCTCCTCCTCCTCCTCCTCTTTCCTCCTCCTCCTCCGCCCTCCTCTCTCCTCCTCAGCTCCTCCTCCTCATCCCCCCTCCTCCTCCCCCTCCCCCTCCTCTTCCTCATCCTCCTCCTCCTCCTCCTCCTCCTCCTCCTCTTCCCTCCTCCTCCTCCTCCTCCTCCTCTTCCTCCTCCTCCTCCTCCCACCTCCCACCTCCCAGACATGATCGCGTCTTTAAACAATCAGGACGGGAGATTTTTGGCCATGTTCGGCCTCGGGGGCCCTTCGCCGGGCCTCGGGACCGTCAAAATACGAGTCAGGATGAAAAGCCGGTCTTGGGCAAAGGGTCGGGACTTCCAGGGACCCAGTATTGCAAAAAATCAGGACGTCGCATGTCTGGGTCGTTAACGGTTTCCCAAAGTATTCGGGAGCTCTCGTGACTTTCTACGGCAAGCTCGTGCGGCGTCGGTGTCGACACCGCGTCGGTCGCTCAACATTGAGCCGATTGCGGCCCCGTTCGTGCTAGGGAACTCAAACGGATCCCAGGGCGTTACCATGTCCGTCGATGCTTCCGCGTCGCAGAATTCTCGGCTGCACGCAAGAGTGACCCTAGGCAAAAGTGACCTTTGGTGCGCGGCTTAACGGGGGACGCCCGGCGCGCAAGCCGCTGCTCCCGCTTCGCGCTCAACGATCGGGGGACCCCATAGGGCCCGCACCAAAGATCACTCCGGCGAAGGGTCACTCTTACGTGTAGTCGAAGAATTCAACCTCGAATGCCTTCGCTTGTCGCCGGCGCGCCAGTCGGGGACGCACTGACCCAGGTCAATGCAAACCTGGGTCAGTCAGGCCTTGCAGCATCCTGCAAGATCCTGCAACATCCTGTATCCAAACATGGGGCAGTGCACTCCTGGCCCTGCAGGATCCTGCAATATCTGGCGCTCTGGCTGACCCCCGTTTGCATTAACCCCTGGCCCCAGACATGCGGCGTCCTGATTTTTTCAACACGGGGTCCCCTGAAATCCCAACCCTTTCACCGAGACCGATTTTTCATCCTGACTCGTATTTTGACGGTCCCGAGGCCCGGCGAAGGCCCCCCGAGGCCGAACATGGCCGAAAACCTCCCGTTCTCATTTTTTAACGACGCGATCATGTCTGGGATGCAGCCTTCGCTGGAGGAGGAGGATGAGGATGAGGATGAGGAGGAGGAGGAGCAGGAGGAGGGGGAGGGGGAGCAGGAGGAGGAGGGAGGAGGAGGAGGAGGGAGGAGGAGGAGGAGGAGAGGAGGAGTAGGAGGAGGAGGAGCGGAGGAGGAGGAGGAGGAGGGGTGAGGAGGAGGGGTGAGGTGGAGGCCAACGCCGCGCGAACCTACCGTGCAAAGTGCTATTTGTTTCTCACCGCTGGATGCTTCCCGGCAGCTGCGCCTCTCGCCGAGGGCGCTCCGGGGCCCGCCTCGGGGCCTCGCCCCGAGAGCGGCCGCTTCGGGCCGGAGCCATATGACCCAGAAGCAAGGATCGCTCGAGGAGGAGGGGGAGGTGGAGGAGGAGGAGGAGGAGGAGGAGGAGGAGGAGGAGGAGGAGGAGGAGGAGGGGAGGAGCTAGGGGGGGAGGGGGAGGAGGATGAAGGAGAGGAGGGGGAGGAGGAGGAGGAGAGAGGAGGAGGAGGAGGAGGAGGAGGAGGAGAGGAGGAGGAGGAGGAGGGGAAGGAGGAGAGGAGGAGGAGGAGGAGGAGGAGGAGGAGGAGGAGGAGGAGGAGGAGGAGGAGGAGGGGGCGGAGGTCTGAGCCCATGTCCGCATGCATCCAACGTGTTGACAAGCCTCGGGCACAGTCGACCCGCATCATAAGGATGCGCGCCAGTGATGCAAGGGCCTTGGCCACCCGTGTCGACGCTCTACGAGCGGGGCGTGGCCGACGAGAGTGGCCAAGGATGTGCCGAGGAGGCAAAGATGCGAGGGTACCTTTGGGAAGGTTGCCCGTCCTTACCATGCGGGTTGACTGCAAATGCAAGGCTGAACCTGGGTAAGAGTGACCTTCGATGCGCGGCTCTTTGAGGGGCCGCGGGGGGGGGCCAAACCCAGGCACGCAAGACGCCACTGCCGCCTCGCGTTCGTCGATCACGGACCCCAGCGGGCCCGCACCAAGGTCACTCCGCGAAGGAAGGGTCACTTTTACGTGCAGTCGAAACGATCAGGATGGAGGTGAGGTATTTCTCCTTTTTCGGCCTCCGGGGGGCCCTCGCTGGGCCTCGGGGCCGCCCGAACCCGACTCGGGACGGAAAGCCGAGAGCGCCCAAATCGCCTTGGGGAAAGGGTCGGGCTTCCGGGAAGCCCGAACGGAGAAAATCCGGGCATCGGATCTCGGGGACTCGTTCAATGAGCGTGGAGACGGGATCGCCTTGAGACGGCATCGCCTGGAGGAGGAGGAGGAGGAGGAGGAGGAGGAGGAGGAGGAGGAGGAGGAGGAGGAGGAGGGGCAGAGGAGCGAGGGGGAGGGGAGGGAGAGGAAGGAGAGGAGGGGGAGGAGGAGGAGGAGGAGGAGGAGGAGGAGGCGGAGGAGGGAGGAGGAGGAGGAGGAGGAGGGAGGAGAGGAGGAGGAGGAGAGAGAGGATGGGGATGGGAGGAGGAGGAGGGGGGAGGAGGAGTGAGGGAGGAGGAGGAGGAGGAGGAGGTGCCTGGCGGGGGGGGGGGTGGGGAGGTGGATCGTGTCGGGCGGTGGCTTCGGTGCGCGCTGTGGATCAGAAGGGGCCATGGGGCGGGGAGGCGCGGGGGGTTGCTTTGCTGACCAACACGGCGTGGCTGCCTCGATGTCCCTGTTCCTCCCCATTCGATCCCTCTCATCCCTCGATCCACCTCCCCCCCTGGATCCAGTGATCTGGCTCGCCCTTCCATCCTCCCTGCTCCTCCTCCACGGTCCAATGGGGACAGCACCGATTGGGAGGCTTCCCGACGGTTATGGAGCTACCCAACATCGACAGCGCTTTCCGCGAGGCTGGCGGGAAAACCTGCATCAGTTGGCGGCGCACAGAGGGGGGTAGGGGGAGGGGGGGAGGCTTCTCAGAAGCAGGCTGCTTCTTAGAAGGCGCTGGCCTTTGCATCTACAGAAGGCCCGCGCCTTCTGAGAAGTAGGGGTGCTTCTCAGAAGCCTTCCCCCCTCTCCCCGCCCCCCTCTGCGCGTGGCAGAACCAGAGCAGGGGAGAGGTGCTGTCCGCCACCCTCTCTTGCTGGAGGAGGAGGTGGAGGAGGAGGAGGAGGAGGAGGAGGAGGAGGAGGAGGAGGAGTCCCGCCCCGACCCCCGACGCCCGACGCCCGCCGCCGACCCCCGCACACCCGGCGCCGACCCCCGACGGCCCGGCACGCCGTGCACGCCGGGAGAGCCACGGCCGAGGCTCTCGGCCCCACCTCGGAGCGGCACTCCGCGGGGTGGACCGCTCCGTGGCTGGGGCCCGTGGCCCGCATCCGCCGTGGCCCCCCCCGCGGCGCGCCCCGAGGCCGAGGACCCTTCGGCACTAGACCCCGCGGGCCTCAGCCTCGTGGAGGGCTGCTGGCGCGAGAAGCGCACGGTGCTGTACTCCAGGGCGGGCTGCACCTGCGGAGGCGCCAAGCGCTACACGAAATCTTGGGGCACATACCTCATCGATCTTGGAGGGTCCTACGGTCAGGTCGTGCATGTCCCCTCCCCCTACAGGCAGACTTTGGGCGAAAAAACAAACAATACTCAACACACACACACACCCAAATTGTCAGACAGTGCTGACACATCGTCCCCTGATTTGTTCCTTGGTCTGTTTTTGAGTATTCCTCCTGTAGAGGGACGTGCCCAACTTACTCCTGCGGTGCCCCCGATCTGCTCCCTGGGGCCGTCGGGGGACACGACCCTTCCGCGAGGCGCCTGCCGGCAAGCGGACCTCTCACCCCATGCGGCTGCCGCAGGACGCCGCCCCGCGCACCCACGCACGGATCCTGGCGAGGCCGAGCCTCGGCCTGGGGGTGGCCCGGCCCAGCTGGCCCAGCCACGACCCATGGTTCAGCCACGCGCAGAGGGGGGTGGGGGGCGCAGACCTACTTGGCCGGAGATTCGCGGGGGGTGAGGGGGTATCGAGAGCAGAGGGAGGGGGGCGGGTTCGGGGCTTCGTCGTCCTCCTCCCTCCTCCTCCTCCTCCTCCTCCTCCTCCTCTTCCTCCTTCTCCTCCCCCTCCTCCTCCTCCTCCACCTCCTCCTCCTTCAGCAAGAGAGGGTGGCGGACAGAACCTCTCCCCTGTTCTGATTCTGCCACGCGCAGAGGGGGGCGGGGGGAGGGGGGAAGGCTTCTGAGAAGCACCCCTGCTTCTCAGAAGGCGCGGGCCTTCTCTGTACATGCAAAGGCCGGCGCCTTCTAAGAAGCAGCCTGCTTCTGAGAAGCCCTCCCCCCTCCCTCCACCCCCTTGTGCGCGCCGCCAAATGGTACCCGGGTCAATCCAGACCCGGGTCAGCAGGAAACCGAAAACTGCAGTGCAGGAAGAGAAAACTGCAGCGCAGGGCTTCGCAAACCCGGGTCGGCCAATAGGCGCGGCCGCCCCGCGGCCACGAGCGGCTCGCCAACCCGGGTCAGCCAGAAGGGGTCTTCGCAGGAGCCTGCAGGATCCGGTGCCCTGGCTGACCCCCGTCTGCACTGACCCCCGTCTCTCAAGGCTCCCGAGGCAGAAGAGGATCGGCGCCGCCGGTGCCCGTTTGGGACCCCCGGGGCCCCAGACTCGACCGAAGGAACGGCACCGCAGCGCCGACGGCAGCGCTTCGAGTCGAGCCTGGCCCCGTGCCCGAGCCGAGGCGGGCCTTGCCACAGAGGGCCGCGGGAGGCAGAAGCCCGAGGCCCTTTTGCGGCCCCAGCCGTGCCCTGTGAGGAGAACAAGCATCGTGTTGGGAGGAAGGGGCTGGGAGGGTGAAGGTCATGAGCAATAGCA